TAACAACTGCAACATCAGCCATCCAACGCCTCCTTCAAATTCAAGATTAACCCCTCAACTTAGGCCGCTCCGTAGAACCATAAAGGACAGAAGGCTGAAGAAGACAATCGTATGGCAATAAAATTGCAGGAGCTTCTCCAACAAAAAAGGGGAGCCGGCTGCAATACTACCAACAAACAGTCTACAATTATACCAGACATCATCATGCTGGAAGACCCCCATGGAAAGACCAAGCTACCTGGTTTTATCTCGTATGAAGACCCTACGGGAAAGACCACAGCCACCCTGGTCAAAGACCAACGTTGCAGCTACCCACCATTGCACAGCCCAGAGGGGCCTCGAACACACCCTCATCTAAGTCCACCCCAAGTCAATCAAGAAGGAGCAAGGAGGTCTCTTCAGTTAAGTTAAGTACAAAACGAGCGTCTTGGCAACAGTAATTAAACATGAGGAACTGTTATTGTCGACCCAAGCCGAATATACCTTACCTGGATGCCACAATCACCGAATAAATTCAACTAGCCACAGCCACTAGACTTCGCACTTCTCATCGTAGGCGACTTCAACGCCGCACACCAGGCATGGGGCTACCATTGGAATTTACCCCGGGGCAACGAAATCGTTAGGCTTCAAATCGACAAATATTTCTCACTTCTCAACGACCTTGACACACCAACCAGACAAGGATCAAGCACAGCACGAGATACATGCCTTGACCTTGCTTTTGTGGCTGAGCCGTCCAAACTCAAGATCACCTGTCGATTCCTGGCCGAAAATCTCGGATCAGACGACAATATCATCAAAGTTGCAACCACAGGGACCCAATACAAAGCAATCATCGCCAAAGGACGTACCACAGACTAGGACAAATTACGAAAAGCCCGGATTACCACTTCACAATCGTACCTACACTACAATGGTTGTGCAACCCAGCTAAAAAAAGACGTCACCGGCGACACAAGTGAACTTACCACTCCTACATTGACAACCATCTTCTTGGCCTATGGGAAGCCCACCGACAGCTGACCAAGAGATGGAAACGACAAAGACGCAACAAGAAACTACAGAAACGCATGGCAGAACTCAACGCCAGAGCTACTGCTTACGCCAAAGACCTGGCCAAGAGAAACTGGCTTAAGATACGCAACGAGGTTAGTGGCCGCTTATCCTTCAATCAAACATGGAATTTTCTTCGCCAGGTGATTGACCCTACCAAAAAAAAATCGGAGGCCAGAAAGGGGATCGCCCGCACTATCAATGCCTACAGGGCACCACCAACAAATTATGGACATTTTGGCCACACACTACCTCCGATGCAAAAGTCCCACATCTAAGACATCACACCCAGACTGCACCGGCCGTCCCAAAGCTACACTGGATGAGCCGATCTTCATGCATGAACTCAAAGACGCCCTTGCATCGACTAATAACAGCGCACCAGGAGATGACTTCATAACGTAAAGCTTACAATTGAAAACGAGCGTGTTGGTTAATAGATACAAAACTTGAAAGTATAAAACAGAGAGGACGAGGACGGGAACAGGAAAGATGTCCTGTTCCCGTCCTCGTCCTCTCTGTTTTATACTTTCAAGTTTTGTATAACGTAAAGGTTCTGGTGAACTTGAAGGATGCCGGCCTCGACTCACTTGTAGGTGCCGAGCACCAAGAATAGAAGAGGAGCGCAAGGTTGGGTAGCGCGCGACACTCTACTGAGCGTGCAGCACGGCCGACGATCTCGGTGGATACCGAAGATATCCCTCATTGGCGACGTGAGCGATCGAAAGCGTCGCTGTGGTCGGCCCACCACAATTGGTCGAATACTGACTATGACATTAGCAAAGGATCTCTCATCGACGTAAATAAGAGGAATGTAAGAACTTCAATTTTGGCTGTGTTGGCAGTGTTGCTTTGAGAGCGCTACGATTTCAGGCTTTCACCATGCCCATTACAAACACTATCGAACTTGTTGTTCACAAGGTAATGACGTCACGAAAGGTAACCGAACGAGGGCGCCACCGAAACATTTCGCCCCTAATAGCGTTAGATATTGTAAAGTGTAAATAGTGTAAATAAATGTGTAGCGCCTACACTTGGTCCCTACACACCCATTAACCACGTGAGCCAAGCCTAGGAACAAGTTTCCATCCATCAAGAACGGACACGCGCAACAGTGGTATTCATCCAGAAACCAGGCAAACAACTCACCATCGAAAGCCTCGGACTCATCTCTCCCACCTTCTGCGTGGGTACGTTATTGGAAAACGTTATCAAAGGCCGACTCCAAAACTTCCTTGAGGAGACGGGGCAAGTCCCACACAACATGTTTTGCTTCCGCCGACACGTTAGCACTCAAGACGTCATCCTCCGACTAAAAAATGACATATTCAAGGAGATCACACGCAACACGCCCGTAAGTATATTGGCAATGGGCCTCAAGGTAGACTATGATAACGTGCTTCACTGTGGAATCTTCTCTACCCTCAATAGCACTGACTGGGGTGTGCGCGCATACAACTACATTCGCTCATTATTCGGACGCACAGCACAAATCAAGATAAGTGACTTGGAGTCGGACATCCTCCAGATCGGTGACAGGGGCGCTCTACCTACCGCAGAAACTACAACGCAACCCAAATCTCAAGGTCGCCTTCTACGCAGGCGATATTGCCTTATAGACCCCCAAACCGGACGCCCTGGGCAAGCTTCAAGATACACTTCAAGAAACTGCGGACATTATTACCAAACATCTGCACACGATGGTCCTCATATGAGCACCCCTAAAACAGAACTACTCATTATAAAGAGATAAAACTTTCAAGACCCCACAGTCCAACAAGTCTACGTCACCATCGTAGGCCAAAGAATATACCGGCAGACAATCCAGTCTGGATCCTGGGCCTCTATATACAAGCAAACAGCAAATAGACTCATCAAATCAACCTACTCAAGCAACACTTGGACATACTAGGCCACATGTTTTGGAGACTAACCACTAGATATAGGGGGATAAGGGAAGCAGACACCTTTCGCCGTGTGGAAGCCTTCGCCGTATTCCTCTAGTCTACGTAGCTCCCTACATGAATCTCCTGAAAGCAGAACAAGTCCAATTGGATACTACGATTCGAAAAGTCATTAAAAGGGCCCTAGCAACAGGTTGTTCGAAGCAAAGCGCAATGTTGTGGCGTCATGAGTTACGGGGTCTATCTGCAACAGTAAACTATCGCCAGTTGAACCTCTAGCGTACATTATAATAACTCTATGAACGACGCGCATCTGGTTCGGAGAAAGGATCTTCCTTCTGCTTGTTTGGAATAGGGGGGACAGGGGCCAGCAGGTTTTTCCAAGGCAGTGATGGTACAAGGTGAACAGAAGTCACGAAAACCAGCGGGGTCGTTCCAAGATCGGCCGTGTCTGCTCTGTTTCATAGGGGGCGCTATGTATGTTTATGCTGACGCCATGACACAGTAGGGGGCTGCGCTGTTTCCAACGCTCCGTTTTTTTTTTTCTTTTCTGTTCTTTTTTTTTTTTTTTTGTTTTTTTTTACGAACCTTCGCACATATCGTAGTGCAAGAAGGACAGAAATGCATAGTCGCGAAGCTCCAAGAACCACACCGATGCCAAGAGTGCTGTAAAAAGCAAAAACCTAGTTTTATACTCAGCCCCTCTTTTCAGGAAGCCTGCAAGTGAGAATATTATTGTCCATTTATTTTTATCGCTGTGGGATAGGATTTCGGGCACTGGCCTCACCGGGCGCTACTGTGTGGCCGTAAATTTTGTTTACAATTAATGGGCCCGGCAAGCGACGATAGTGCGTTCTTATTTGCTCTTGACTGCGGTCGACTGCCTGTCAACGCATTTAAGTGTGCAAGCTTGGCTCAAACGCAGTTCGCAAGGCTCGGCATCCGCCTGCAGCAGCTAAACACATCGCGCTTAGACGTAAATCTGTGGATAGGTCTTATTAGAGCCACAAAATAAGCTACGCTTCAGAGTAACGGCACTTCAGCCATCTTGGTGCTTAAAAACATGGTCGCCAGTTATCTGAAGCTCATATTGAAATAGCAGGAAATGCTTACCCGTCCTCCAGAAATGTTAAAACAGTTCGCGAAGGAGCAAACCAATACCACTTGAGCTTCCTGACACCATATCTGAAGCTCCGGAAGTCGCATCTTTGAATTGTGACGATCGAGAGTTGCGTCTGCTCTGCATCACGCACCAAGATGGCGGCGCCCACTAGCAAATCAGGGAACGGAGTGCCGATACTCTAAGAACACGGTACTCTGAGCGTAGCTTATTTAGTTGCTCTAAGTTTTATGTGTATGTGCGTGTGTGTTCGTGCGCGCGTGTGTTTGCATCTGTGCGCGCGTGTGTGCTTGCGTGTGTGCGTGTGTATGTGTGTTTGTGTTACCCAATAACACCAACTTTAGCATACAAAATAGAAACTTTTAGTAGACCTAAACTCTACTCCGTTCACCCTTAAGGTCGGTTCAGACACTTGCGTTTGAGCACGTTTGACTGCGTTGCGTCAAAAACTAAAAGCGAGTTACCGGGACATCTGTGCTTCGTACGAAGCGTGGAATCCAATTCAAGAAATCATCTTGACACGCGATATAAGCAGCAGGGATGTCCTGGTATCTCGCAGCCGCAACGCAGTCAAACTAAATTGTCTGAACCTAAGCTGAAACTCTTCAGCATGAGCTCGCTGCCTTCCCTAGTGTTTTGGTTGCGCGTGCCTGCGCGTGCACACTTGCGTTAGCAAGGGCAGAAAGCACGCGCAGAAGGCAGAGCTTCTAGTCTCAGCGTAATGGTGAACGGAGTATAGAGCTTCGCTTTGCTAGAGGGACCTCGTGCCGTCACTTGAAAACATGGAATGAGCAGGCGCCCGCTGGGCCTTGTTTTCGCATCTACTAAAATTTACTATTGTCCTCGCTTCAGGCTACCCAGCATCGTTCCGTCATCGCCAGAGAATTCGGTAACATACATTATATCGGATTTTCCTACAGGCCGGCAACAGTCTCGTCGGTGCCATGGCGGGACCCCTCTTCAGCGTCTTCCTTCTGGGCTTTTTCTTTCCCTGCTGCAAAAAGAAGGTGAATAATTTCTCCCGCGTGGGTGTTCGAGAGCACAAAAGCTGACTCCGCGGCACAGAGCAAACGCGATTATAGTTTTTTTTTTTTTTTTTTATCACTTGCATTAGTATCCAAAATCCAGTCTACCGCTCAATATGGTGACGCACGTGAGGTCATTTGGGTACACTAAAATATTTGAGGATATGGCCTCTCGGCTTTGAGGGAACGCTTAAACAAAATCGGGAACAGCGTTTTGTACAAAATGTGTTGCACTCTGTACAGCACGGGCAATTCGAGTGCACAGTCAATTGAATGCAGGCTTGTCTGTTTCAAGAAACGTCATTACGAGATGTTTCTCTCTTTTTTTTTTTTTTTATTGAAGAGAGCAATCGGGCAGCTAAGATTACCGAAAAGCATGTTAAACGTCCCAGCCGTCTGCAGAAATCTTTTTCTTTTTTTTTTTCTGAGACGCTTTAGATTTTAATATTTCCACTGATCCGACAAAATTACGTCGCAAGTAGAGTTTAAGCCTTTTTGTATTTATGCGCGACATAATGTACGACGCTAGACGTTGCGGTGGTGTTGCCCAATCGAATGAAAGTATGATGCGCCACCATTTTGTTGCTACTATCTGGTTCCCCGAGTGGCCCGAACTACGAATGGGGTATAACATAAAAAAAGGCAGAAGAAAAGGACAAAAGCTCAAATATCGTTGGAGGGTCCCTGAAAGCCTCCTTTTGTCACTTTACGGTTTTCGATAAGGAGTATAGAGCGGCCCCTCCTATGGAAGAAACCGGGCACCACTGAGGTACGGTGTCTGGAACGCGTCCCCGATTGGTGTGCGTAGCGTTCTATTTCACTCTTACATCAAAAGCGGTCCACAAGTGGCATCCAAAGGTGTTATGGAAGACGGGGTGTCACGCCCCAAGTGAACATTTTTCCTAGTGGTACCACTTGCAAAAAGTATGCGGAGGGCAAGTTCGTCTGCTTCTTGCGCAGGGGGTAGCGGTGACATCAGAACGCCGAGCCCTGATTGGCTGATCGCGACCCCCTATCTGAGCGTCGTCTGCTCCTTTGTAACGTCGTCTGCGTCTGTCTTACCTTTCCTGCGACTTTCGGAAGTGCAGGTCTTTACGAGCGAGCTCGACTTCGCCTTTCAGAGAGGGCAGACGAAATAACTCGAGCGGTACGTTGTTTTTATCTAACAACTGGTCAAAGGACTCACTGGCGAGGTGTCCCGAGGCGCCGAGGTTTGTTTGCTAAGAACCGAGAGGTGAGAGTGGTTAGTGTCCGCAAGTTCGCTCCCAAATACTTTTCCCCCCCTTTCGTGTGCGGCGAGACTCCTCACTCTTTAACGGCATCGGCGGGTTGGCGCGGTTCGCGCAGTTAACCTCGTCTGCTTTATGTTTGCTAGTCAAAGCAATGGCTGCTTTATCTTTCCTGCGTCTGTCGGAGATTCGCCGCTTTTTCACCGGCGAGAACGTCTAAAGTCTGAGAAGAACGTGAAACCTGTGTGACATATCACAGAAAACAAATTTCTCCAAGTGAGATTGCTCTTCAATAAAGACAGCAGTTGAAGTTACTCCATTCATCTTGCCAGTCACGAGTGTTTATTTTTATATGATGCACACTCACTATACGAAACCAATTCAGACATTTTCTGATCTATAAGCTTTGGCCGATAATCCAAAAGTAAAAAAAGGTCGGTTTTATTAATCCCTGCTACACAAAAGGATGCATTGACACCAGGGCCCGTTTGCTTGAAGCGCTAACCGCGGCTAAAGTTAGCCGCAGTACCTAGGAGAGGGATTTTTAAATCACGTGACTGGCTCGGTAGGGGTGCGGGGAAACACGGCGGTGCCCCGGTGAGTGAGCGCCGCTCGCTTTGGAACTAATATGTCGTTGTAGCTGCAATACCGGGCGCGTTAGTCAGCAACGAATGGTGCAGGAGGCTTTCGCTTTGCCTTACCTCACTTAAAGCGCAAAGCATGAGCAATGACCTCACCGCATTTTTTAGATAGTCTTTCGATTCTGATCGTTCCTAAGCCTGAATGAACGCGATGATTGTCGGCATGGCAACGTCTTTGGAAAGTACAGCTGTCAAAAAATAAAAAAGTTTTGAAACTAAAGTGGAAAAGAACGCATCGCATATCGTATCATTCCCAGATTTCGCTTTCTTAATGCTGGCATATAGGATGAGCTAGACGATCATTATGCTATACCAGCAAAACGAAACAAAAAAAAATCTAAAGAAGTGCGACTATGTATACAATTCATTGCTCCCAAACGGCATTTGCGCTTTGAATATGAGCTTATGCCGCTCGTGCAAGTCACGCTTTTTCACAGGGATGTGAGACAGGATGGAACTTAATATTTCTAAAAACTGAACAGACAAAAACAAAGGAAGTATACGACCATTTCACGGCGAATAAAGCATCCCTGCTGTGACCGCTTAGCTTCTGTCCGGCGTCGGATGGCCACGCTCTGACCTACAGCGCCCTCGCCGGCCTTATTGCACATCGCGACACACTCACGGCCGCCGGGCGACACGCCTCACCATTCTAGTGCACACCTAACGACGTGACACATCTACGACGTCATCAGGACCACTTTTTGAAGGACCACTTTTTCGAACGTGGTAAACCGTAGCCTCCTTTATACTCACAAAGCCTGTCAGTTTGACGATGGAGCCATAGAGCGCCCGGTCGCAGATTTGGAGCGAGAGGATCTGGTGGCACAGAGTATTTCTCGGGGAGCCTGTAGTCAACGCACAGCTTTAGCTGCGGCAAGGACCCGAAACATGGTTTTCAAACCCGCCAAGAAAAGAAGCGGTAGCGCAAAGAACGCGAGGAGCACGAGCGGACATCCCATCGCTCAGGACAAGTGTGATTCGGCGTCTCGCCGCAGCGGGGCGCTCATTACATGCTTCTCCTCTCATCCGTTGTCTGCCTCTCTACTTTTTCACTTTCGGCGGCGGCGTCTCATGGCGATCTGCCAGGCATTGTCAGTGTAGAGGAGGCTATGGGTAAACACACCATTCGGAGTTGCGTTCCAGGCACCATAGAGGCGCGACCCGGAGAGTTGAAAAATATTTAACTCCGAGCGTTCGGGAAAAGCCGAAGCTGCAAAACGTCACCGGCGACGTCATACACCTGGCAAACAACATTTTTGGGTTCGGGACCCGCAATGCAGTTTGATTTCAGCCGCGCTGTAGTCACAACGCACACCGTAATATCCAGAGAAACGGGCCACCTAATATCGATAGAAAATTGGACGAAAATAAGCTGTAAACTAATTTTCATTCCCCCCCCCCCAAAAAAAAAAAAATGGTGGAAATTTTGCAAGTTTAAGATTTTGTGACTATCGAAGCTTGTGATCGCAGGAAGGGGCCATGAACCAAAGATTACTGTCCTTTCAGCGATTTTTGGCTTATCTTCCGCTGTGGTTAAGTAACACAAACAGAGTTTTTCCAAGTTCACCTTTGGCCAGGGCCCTGCAATTCCTGGAAGTGGGCTAGCTTTCGGTGTTTCTGAAGACATAGAAAATAGTGCCAAAAATAGGGGTGTGCCAGCTTTCGGGGGTGAGGCATCTTTGGGGATATTGCGCTACGTTACATTAATAATTTCTAGTCTCCAAACATAATTCAGATAAATAAGCAATCGGCACCGAAAAAAAAATTGCTTAAGTGATTGTCGGCAGGAACGATGAAATCGCCGAACGCGGCGCTGCGTCGTCACGAGTACACCGAGAGCGAGAATGGCTGGGCCGTTTCCACTTTTAAATCTAGGGGTGTTTGCCGGAGAGTTATCATTTGCAAAGCTTTTTGCTGATAGCTACTGTCATTTATAATATTTCCCAGCTTGGCGGGCGTCAATAACGTTAAAGAAGCGAACGATAATAATAAAAAAAAAAGATATCCCTGTTCTCTGCGAGCAAGGGAGGAAAAGACTCGCGCACAGTCTTGCGTGACCGGCGCAAGTTCGAAGCAGAAAGGTGGTGGTTTGAAAGCGCGCTTTGCAAACGGCGCCACACTACCAAGCTCCCCCGTGCTGCAAAGATGGAACCCGCAGGGCAATCTTGTCCCAGCTATGTTTGCTTTAATGTTGGACTGACTCCAGCGCTACGTGTCGACCTTTCGCCGGCCCCGCAATCGTTCGCTCGTGAAAATATATTTTGGTGCCGACTGTATTTCGCGTTAGTGTCAAGCACCAGCACCATCACTCGCAGTGTCATAACACACTTCTGGCTTCATCCAGGGGGTGCTGGCTGGCATGATCACTGGCATCGCGGTATCCATATGGTTCACAGTGGGCTCATCCCTGCACCCCAAACACAACAACTTCTTACCCACGTCGACGACTGGTTGCACGAAGTTTAACGAGAGCATCAGCCTGGGATCCTTTGACGGACCACAAGCGCCAAGGTGAGGGCCAACAGACGGTTGGGCCGACTTTTAAACTTGTACAGATCTTGGATGTACAATGCGTGCAACTGTTAAATAGAACGCGTAGACAGTGACCGAAAAAGGAAGAGAGAGGGATGTGGTGCCGCCAGATCTCACCGGCAGCTGGCGAATCTGGTTGCTTCTGCTTCTGCTACGCTGCCCGGAACGCGTCTTCGATTGGTGTGTTTTTTTACCGCATCCTAAAACGTGGTTCCTCGATTTCCGTCTGATGATGTCACAAAAGTGTCACGCTGTCCCGGGCCTCGATCCTGGCGCTGTCAAAGCAGTTGTGGTGGGCGTGGCAGACCCCTGTTATGTGCTGCACCTCGCTTCCCAGCTTTACAGTCCACGGAAGCTTCGGCAGTTGGGAGATGGGACGCCGTAGCGGCAGCAGCGACACTCGCGTTCGCTCGTGCCTTTTTCTGAAAATTCTACACCCAGCCGCCAGGATCGTACCGCACGGCAGAATGACACTCCGGCTTTTGTGACGTCATATATTGGGACCACTTTCAATGTATGGGCGGAATAAGACGCTAAACGCGCCAGTCGGAGACGCGTTACGGGCACCTCACTTCTGCTGCCGCTCATTTGTCTCGTTAGACAGTACACCGCTCATTCTTTTTACAATGCTCATTCACGTGCTTACTTTTGCCTCAACTGACATATTTATTTGAAATACCCTCAAGATACGTTTTGTGCACATGTTGTTTGAGTATGTTTAAGTGGTCTGATGTCTTTGACAGAATATCAGGCGCATAGCATCAATTTCGGATAGCCGGGCCCCAGCACACGCTCGTTCTCTTCCTTCGTGTTTCGGCGGCTCGTGCACCTCGAAGCTTACGAGAGACCGAAGTGTTATCGAATTCGTAGGAAGCTCACCGTGCGCCAACTGAAAGAATTCCCCGGTGTACTTGTCCTGTCAGTTATATTCAGTGTCCTTGAATAACTGTTTGTAATGACATTTGTTTCAACGCGCAGCAACCACCACTAAAATTGCCCCCCCCCCTCCCCCCTTCCCTCCATAAGGATATTTTGTACCTCTGCTTCCCATGGCTCGCGAAAAGTCACCCATGAGTGCACTTACTCACCCTAACCGATCACGCTTGAGGTGAGGGTGAGTGAGAGGTGCGAGTTCGGTGAGTTCACTATAGTTCAGTGGCTTCATGAGTTCAGTAATTTCATGAGTTCGGTTAGGTCGCGTAAGTTTATGAGGTCGGTGAGTGCAGGAGTTCGGCGAGTGGATTAAGTTTGTAAGTTCAGCGAGTTCACGAGTTCGGTTAGTGGCGTGCGTTCATGAGAAAGGTCCCTGATGTGCCATGGATTTGATGAAGGTTTGCGAGGTGACGTCGAGGAAGGGCGGGTTATGTGACCCTTCTGTACATTTCTGGGGAAGTTAAGTTGACGCTCGCTTCGCAATGGATATGTTAGCTCTCACGGTTAGTTCTCTATGGTTGATGAGAAAGGAAGAAAAGTGCCCATGCGGAAAAATAGTGGGTAGACCTCGAGGCAACTAGCATCGAGGTCTACCTACTATTTTTTTTTTCAATCAGCCAATAAGCGCTCGGCGTTCTGACATCATACCCAATATCCTTTCAATCGATTTTCCGCGTCGTTCTAACGTCACTACAATCCCTGCGCAAGAAGCAGACGACTTGCTCTCCGCATTGACGTATCTGCGCTCTTCGGCTCCGGCTCGCTTCGCGGCGGCTTGGCGTGGTCATTTGCCGCGCGGCAAAATGTGCACAGGAAAATAAATACAGCACGCAGAAAGAAATACAAACATGGCCGGGACACGGATACAGTTGAAGACAAGACATTAACGCTACTATACATACACTTACAAATTACACTGGAAGAGTCAGATATAATTAAATCTAAAAATCGGATGATTGAGATAACCTCGACGCCCTGATAAGGCAATGCGAAGGGAGAGCAGCCAGCAAAAACCGCAATAGTCCTATAGGCAGCTAAGGACGCTTTTGTGATCGCGGTTATAAAGCACCGGCTACGTACGCCCCATTAAGCTGGCTAAATAAAATTCTCGCCTCGAGCAAGCGCTTGAATGATTCTTTTTCACTTTCCTGCCTCTGCAGTGCAAAACAGGTCGCGGGTTTATAGCCTAGGCGACATGAAACACCATTGAGCCGGCTAAAATAATGGGATGGTCGCGAGTGTATAGCTCGAGAGACATACATCCCTCTATAGCCGGCTGAAGCAGATTGAAATGTTGGAGGCCTACTGGCGACGTGCGCGACCGAAAGCGTCGCTGTGGTCGGCCTTCCACGATTGGCCCAAAAGCTGACTATGACGTCGGAAAGGATATACCATCGACGGAAATAAGAGGAATGAAAGAAATTTAATTTCGACGGTGTTGGCAGTGTTTCTTCGAGAGCGCAATGATTTCAGGCTTCCACCATGCTATTTGCAAACACCATCGAACTTGTTGTTCGCAAGGCAATGACGTCACAAAGGGGAACCATAGGAGGGCGCCACCAGAACATCTCGCCGCTATATTGGTGGCATAAAACACTATGGATTCGGCTAAAGAAAATTTAATATTCGCTAGTTTATAGATTTAGGGACGTACACCCCTCTATAGCCGGCTAAAGCACACTGAGTAGTCTAGGACCTATATCATTAAGGACGTACATTTTTCTGCAGCTCGCTAAACGAAATTGAATTGTCGCAAGACTATCGCTTTATAGGCACATATTATTCTATAGCCAGCTATAGAAATAGGAATGGTTGGGATTCTATAGCTTTGAAGTCATAGATTATTCTGTAAATACCTATAGCGCGTTTTATGGTTGCTTATATCATATTATGGCTGACCGTAAAGGGCCATGTACGATGATAGCTCTCCATAGGATTTTCCGTAGACGCCCATAGACCATTTTTTATGGGATTGGCTCCCACAGTCCAATACTGGACAGCTTATACCAATAGTGATGAGTCATTGGCTATGGCAGTGCAATATTGACCAGCTTATGGCAGCACATCACCAAAATTAGAAAACTCTAGGTTTTGACAGTTCAATATCAGACAGTTTTAGTATAGCGTCGCTGGATCTTACGTACGCAATACGCAATAGTATAGCGTACGGTAAAAATGACCTGCTCGGACCGAATTTAGTTGTGCGTTCCGTTTTCGAGTGAACACCGCGCATGATCTTGGTTAAATTTGCTAGAGCCGTAGAATTCCGCGTGCTTATAGCGCAACCATGCTCATGGAAAGAAATATTGAAAAAGAAAAAGTTTCCAATCATTTTATTTCAAATTAAACCAAGCCACAGCTGCCTCGTCAAGCGCGCTTTTCTGCGGGGTACAGAGGCTACAAGTACGAGTGCGTAGCCAAATTCGGTCACGGAGCCTCCGTCACTCGTCCCGTTGAAACGGCACCTTTTATCAATGCTATCGTGGAATGAAATTCATGACCCTGATGTCCAGTGCATAGCGAGAACCTCGGCGATTTCGTTTAGAGTCGTTCGTCCGTCGGCGATGAACTGTGGGAATAGGCTTAGCGTTGAGCAGATCGCAGCGTCGACGCACATTCCGAGTGGCGAATTTTCACTGTGCACTCCTTCAGCTGCACGGCGATCTGATTCGACCGCGGTAGGTCCCAGAAAGAATCGCCGAGCTGAACACCACGCAATTTCACCTAACACAGAACTTCGAAAACAGCATGTCGCCCTTGCTGCGCAAGTCGAGGCAACCGCCATCTTGAAACTGACGCTCTCGTTGGGTCCGAGATCTCTCGAGAGCGTCCCGCAAGGCCCGCTAGCCAGCAACGCAAAATCCCCAGCGTTGCGTGCGTACGCAATACGCTAGCCCTCCTATTGCGTTCTGCGCATGCGCACTCACGAGCCGTAATTCCTTTGCGTACGCAAAGCTATAGCGTACGATCCACTAAAACTGTCTATTAACCAGCTTAGGCCAGCGTATATCCAATATTGGAAAGCAATTGGCTCTGACAGTTCAATATTGTACGAATTATGCCGGCGTATGTGCCATATAGACGCTTTGCAGCAGCTGTGCATGGACGCCGCCATAACTGACCTTCAGTTTTTGTTTCCTCTTATTTCGTTTATTTCACTTCATCATTACCATAGCAGGCCAGGTTATTGCCACATTAGATTCAACTGTGTCCTTTTCTAAAGCATCAGCCTTTGTAGAGGATCGTCAAATCCTGTTTCAGTTGCTCGGCATCTCGGTAGGACAAGAGAAGGTCAGCCATGGCGGCTGTAATTTGGCGCGTGTGTAAAGCGTCTATACTGGAAATCTATTGCATCCAACAGTTCAATCTTGGATAGCTTATGCTGGCGTATAGCCAATATCAGAGAGTCAGTGGCTTCGACAGTTTAATACTGGACAGCTTATGCCAGCGTATATCTCATATTAAAAAGCTATTGGCTTTGACAGTCCAACGTTCACCAGCCAATTCCAACGTATCACCATTATTGGAAAACCAATGGCTATTGTTGGGCTATCCTTTGCCACATCAAATCCAATGTTGGCTCAATACTGTGTGCTGCCTGGGCATGCCTGAACCATCAGAGGAAGTGGAAGTATCCTCATTCTGGGTTGTGAAAAAACACCACTAGGCCGTTGTCACAGGAAGGCGGTAGGCCTCCCGAGTGACGATTTGAAGGAAGGGGACCGCTGACCGAGCGATAGGGCCACGCTCTGGTGGAGAGTCTTACCAATGAAGAGAGACGGAGGCGTGTGTAGGATATATAAATGACGTTTAATTTGACAGGGATAGGGTAGATAATTAGGCGCTATATAATATGCAAAAATCACGTAGACATCAAACGGCAGAAGCACAGGTACACACAGTATAACGGTTTACAATTTCATGCTCGGGGTTGCCTAGACAGTACTCGAAAAATACTAAGTTTAAGAGAGTCCAAATGGTAAACTAAAATAAGAGGTGGCTTCGACAGAAGCCACCCGCCGGAATTTCTCCACCTCCGTCCGAGG